TGGCCCGCGGCGGCCGCGTCGAGGAGCAGCGGGGCACGCGGAGGCGGCGCGCGCAGCCCCAGCAACCAAGCCCCAGCAGGCCCGGTGGTCTCGCGAAGGAGACGACGGGGGGGGCTGAGGGGACCCGCGGCGACGCGGGGGCGGGCGCCGGGGGTGGGCGACAAGGCGCCGAGGGCGCAACGTCTCGAGAGGCCCGCGTGAGCTAGCAGGGGGGCCAGGGGAGGGCTGGCAACCCCACCGGGCGCTCGCGGGGCGGTATCAGGCACGAGGCCGTAGCGGCCGCGATGCGGGCCGCGGCAGGGGGGGGCGGCGGCCGACAGCCGCGCGGTCGGGTGTGGGAGTCGGAGGGAGGCGACTGACAGCCGCGGCGGAACGTGGGCAGAGAGCGCGGGGGGAAGGGAGTCGGTGGCAAGCGACTGACGGTCGCAGAATACACCAGCTGGGAAGCGTCCGTCTTGCACGCAGGCGGTGAATGCAGGGGAAGGGAGTCGGTGGGAAGCGACTGACAGTCGCAGTGTAGATTGGGCGCGGGCAGGTGAAAGCGGGGGCAAGGGAGTCGGTGAGAAGCGACTGACAATCGCAGAGTAGCGTGGAGGTGGCCAGTGGGCCAGTGGGCAGGGGCGGGGATCGCGACTAACAGTCGCTAAGTGTAAGTGCGTAGCTGCTGCGTCAGTGCAGTCAGATATGTCGCCGCAAAGGAACTAGTAGTACGGGTCACTCCGCGGGGGAAGGGACCTGGGCCCCAGGGCAGCGCCTAAGGCGGGCCAGGGGGGCCGCAGTCGTCCAGGAGGCGAGAGGCCGCAACGGGGGCCCAGGAGCAAGGGTCTCCTGGGGGCCAAAGGCGAGCCAGCAACCCCAGCCAGGCGTGCCCGAGGCGGTATGAGGCGCGAAACCAAGGCGGCGCGCCGTGGGGCTCCGTATGCGGCTGGCCCCGGTGAGAGGAAGGCCAGTCGTGGAGTGTCAGGGTCGGCTCCTTCGTTGGGTGCACAGTGTTTGGCGCCCGAGGGGCGTCGGCAGCGACCGCGGAGCGTGAGGCAGGCGTTTCCGTCGGAGCAGCCGGAACGTGCCCTGGGGAAGGGGGAGCGCCCGCTGTCGCGGATGGGGCCCCGAGAGGGCGGGGGTGTGTGGGAGGGGTCCTAGGGGTGCGCCCAGGGCTGGTGGGAGCTCGTGGCCCGTCTGGAACCCCCTGGACTTCCCCGACGAGAGGCTCCGTCCTCCGTTGCCCCTTGCCTTTGCATTTAGCCAAGGCGCCTTTACCCTTAGTCCGGCCAGCGAACTTGCCGCGGACAGCCGTCCAGTCGACCTGGAGCTGCAGAGCCTCGTCCATCTTAATTGGGCGGCAATTGTGATGGTGCCACGCCCGCAAGAAGCGCTCACGGGACCGGGGTTCCTGCTTGGTGGGGTCAGCGCAGACGCAGCCGGTCCTGGTGGGGTTTTTGTGCGCCCACTGGTGCCAAATCCCGCTGAAGTACTCTCGGCGTGGTCCTCGCCGCGGAGGGGGGAGAGCTGGACCCTCTCCAGCGCGGTTTTGTGCATTATTGGCCTGTGTGCGGGTCGTTCAGGTCCTGCGAGGGATCGGATTGGGCGTCTGCGCAGGGGGGCCAGGGGGACGACCGAGCGTCCGCGCAAGGAGCTGTCCGTGCGTGAGGAGGACGATTCCACCGTTCTCGTCGGCCGCCCAGCCGGACCCGCCCGCCCTCCCGGTCCAACTCCCGCTGCAGGGCTCACTCTGGCTGGACTCGTGCTGCCGTCGCGACCGGCACTCGCCCCAGCGCTCGCCCCAGCTGCGCTCAGGCCCGCGCGGCTGCGTCGACCCGGCGCCGCCCCCGGGCGGGGGGCGCCTGGGGAGGGGAGGCCCTGCGGTCGGTGGGGCTGCCCGCCCTCCTGGCACTCTCCTCGCGCGGCGCGGGACTTCCCCCCTGGGTCATCCGCCGGCGAGGTGGGGCTGCGGAGGCTGGAGTCCACAGCGGGGCTGCGGGAGGCGTCGTCGGGGGGGACGGGTGGGCCCGAGCTGAGGGACGGGGACAGGGCAACCACGGCCTCTTCTCTTACCGCGGCGGCGGGCGGGGCGGGGGCGGCCTCAGCTTCGTGAGTCTCGGCCAGGGAGGTGTCAGAGATGGCGCCGCTGTGCACCGCCGGAGCGGCGCCGCTGTCGGTGGGTGAATGTCCCGTTGCGATGACCCTACGTGGGGGAGAAGTGCCCTGGGACGGTGCCGAGAGAGAGAACGAGATATACGTAAATGTGAACATGTATATATATATATATATATATGTACATATATATATATATATATCTGTACACCAGATGTCACGGCTTGCTGCGCTTCGCCTTCTAATATTGACCCTTGCATCTGCGATGTGTATGGGCGCTGCGGTAAACCTGCTGATGTGATCGCAATGATGTTACAAACCACCCCTTAACCTGACGCTGGGGAGGCTAAGCTGACGGAGCCCCCACCGGCAACGGACCTGGCGCGTGCGGTCGGAGCCTGACGCCAGGTACGGCAGTCGCCCAAGACAAGTGAGAGGCAGGTGCGATCGTCAATTGTTTAGCGCTGCAGGTGACGCTCGCGAAGGCGGATATGGCCGACGCTCAGGCGAGAGTACCTATACCACTCAGGGATGCGGGCGACGCTGAGGCGGTAACAGCGTATCCGGACAGGGATGCGGCTGGAGCTCGGGCGAGAACACAGTTGTTCAATGACGTCTGTGGGAACTGCGTGAGCGGAGCGGCAGCACGATACTCAGGCAGGGATGCGGCTGGCGCTGCCGCAAGAGTACCATTCGCAATGAAGGGGGGGCCAGCGCGTGGACGGCAGCGCGACTCGTAGACAGGGATCAGCGCTTGGGCGAGAGCACCAATCTCAGCCAGGAATGAGGCTGATGCGCGACCAGCGCGACCAATCTGCAATCAGGGTCGTGGGTAGCGCTGAGGCGCAGTGACGCTCCCATTGCAGAGTGCGGCCAGCGCTGCGGTGGTGGCGGTACTGCTGGGTTGGGATGTGGCCACCGGTGGGCGAGGTGGTCATGGCCGGATGTGCGGAAACCCCGCGAGCGAAGCGGCAGCACCACATGGAATGAGGGATGTGGCCAGCGCCTCGGAAACAGCACCTGTCCCACTGAAACCCATCCTCTGCTTCTTCCGTCTGCCGCCCCCTCCTCCTGTTCCACCTTCCGACCTCCTCCCGTCTTCCTGGGTCCCCGTCTGTTCCTGGCTATCCTCACCCTTCTTTCCTCCTCGTCCTTCTCCTCCTCCTCCTCCTCCTCTTCCTCCTTCACTCTTCCTGCTCCTTCTCCTCTGCCATCACGTCGGAGGTCTACTGAGAGAGAGACCACATGGGAGAGTGAGCATCAAAATGTGGTACCGAGCTGCGCTGGTAGAAAAGGAAGTAGGCGGCAGAGGAGGAAACAGCCATGAGGAGGATGAGGAAGAGAAGGAGGGAGGGGTAGAGAGAAAGGGGAGAGAGGAGAAGCAAGAGGAGGAGGAAGAGGAGAAGGAGAAGCAAAGGGAAGTCTCAAGGAAAGATGCGCATCAAATTATGATTCCGAGGGGCGCTGGATGGAAAAGGAAAGAAGGTGGCGGAGGAGGAAGACAGCGATGAAGAGGATGAGGAGAAGGGGAATGGAGGGGCATAGGGAAAGTGGAGGAATGGAAATCAGGAGGAGGAAAAGAAGGAGAAGGAAAGAGATGGGGTCTGGAGGCTGTCAGGGAGCTTCTTAGGTTTCTCCTGAGCTCCAGAGAAGGCGGCGATTGAGGAGGAAGATAACGACGAAGAGGACGAAGAGGGGGAAAAGGAGAGTCCAAGGTCCCAGGAGAAGGAGTGGAAGAAGAAGCAGGAGGAGGAGGAGGAGGAGGAGGAGGGGGACGAGGAGGGGGAGAAGAGGAGGGATGCCTCAAGGAAAACTGTGCATCAAATTCTGCTTCCCAGGGGCGGTGGAGGAAAAGAGAGGGCGATGGACGAGGAGGAAGACGAGAAGGAGAAGGGGGTGGAAGAGTGTGAGGGGAAGGCAGGGGGGGCAGAGAGAGAGAAAGGGAGGAGGCGGAGGAGGATGACGAGGACAGAGAGAGAGGGGAGGAAGAGGAGGAGGCAGCTGCATGGACAAGTGAGCGCCTCAGATTTTGCTTCCCGGGTCGCCGGAGGAAGAATGGGAGAAGTTGGGGGACGAGGGAAGCGACGAGCAGGAGGAAGAGGAGGAGGAGGAGGAATGCAGGGGAAGAAGAGAAAGGCGGCGGAGGAGGAAGGCGACGAGCAGGAGGAGGAGAGGGAGGAGGAGTGTGAGGATGGGGAGCGTCTTGGAGACTCTGGAGCTCTCTGGGGCTCTCTTGGAGCGTCTTGGAGACTCGTCGGGACCGTCGGGGAAGTTGGGGACCGATCTGAGAAGGCCTGGAGGTCGTTTGGACCGGCCGACGCCCGAAAAGGCAACGAAGCAAAAGGCCGTGGAAAAAGCAATGGAAACTGGCAGCGTTCTGCCTGGAGGCGTCTTGAGCTCCCTTAGGGGCCTCCTGGGGGCCTCTGGGGGCCTCTTTGTGCCTCCCGGGGCCGTCTTAAGGGCCTCTCGGGCCGTCTTGGCGGCTTCGTGGGCCATCTTGGGGCCCTTTGAAGCCGTCTTCAAACCGTCTTGGAGGCTCCTTGGGCCGCCGCAGAGCGAGCGTCTGAGGCCGCCTTGGAGCGCGCCAGAGCCGGACCATTGGACGTCTCGGGTCGCTATTTTGGGCCGTCTTGGGCCATGTCGTCCCGCTCTTGGACCGTCTCGAAATTCTGGCGAGGGCCGTCTGAAGGCATTGGTGGGCTGCCTTGGCGCTCCCGTGGGGGCCTTCTCGGCCAGCAGGGTGGGCCTGGAGCGTATATCCGGGGGGGGTCACATGTACGGGTTTCTCCTTGTGGCTTCATAGGTGGAACATATACACACATAAGAGAAAGACTGAGGGAGGAAAGCGAGAGAGAGAGAGAAGAGGGAGATCGAAGACAAAAAAGATAAGTAAGGAGGGGCGGCCGCTCCTGAGGGTCTCGGGTCTCGGGTCCACCCGATCCAGATTGGCTTGATAATCCTTGAGTGTCTCTGGCAATTGGTGGGAAGCTTCCGCCATCAGCCGCTTCGCCAGCGGCGTCAAGCAGCCGTCCAGGATCACCCCGCGCAGCATGGAGTGGCCGCTCACGCTGTGATTCCTGGCACGACCATTCACCACGACCAGCGTCACACACGCACACACACGCACGCACGCACGCACGCACGCACGCACGCACGCACGCACGCACGCACGCACACACACACACACACACACACACACACACACACACACACACACACGCGCGCGCGCGCGCGCACGCACACGCGCGCACACGCGCGCGCGAACACACACACACACACACACACACACATACAGACACACACACACACGCACACACACACACACACACATACACACACACACACACACGCACACGCACACGCACACGCACACGCACACAAACACGCACACAAACACAAACACAAACACGCGCACACACACGCACACACAACACAACACAACACAACACAACACAACACAACATATCACAACACAACTCAACACAACTCAATACAACACAACACAACACAACACGACACAACCGCAACCACAACCACAAACACTAACACAAACACAAACACAAACACAAACACAAACACAAACACAAACAGACACACACACAAACACAAACACAAACACAAACACAAACACAAACACACACACACAACAAAACACGCGCACGCCCACACACACAACACTAACACACATGCACACACACACACACTAACACTAACACTAACACTAACACTGACACTATCACTAACACTAACACTAACACTAACACTAACACTAACACTAACACACACACACACACACACACCAACACACACACACAAACACACCAAAAACACACACACAAACACACACACACACACGACAAACACTTTTAAGTCGGTGGCGCAGACGAGCCTCAGGCGCGGAGGGCATGTAGAGGCGCCACGGCCATGCAGATCGGTGGTGGAAAAGTAAGGCGTTGCAAAGCCAAGACGCAGCGGCCAGCGACCCACGGATCGAAAGCTCAACGCAAGAAGTTGAGGCGCAAACAGCAGTCTGATGCTAACCAACGCTTCAGGAGGCGGCAACAAAAAACTGCAAGGATGCCAGACCAGCCAACTTGGTGGCGGCGCATACACGCAGGGAGCTGCGCGACAAAGCACAGCCACCAGTTTTGCAACAAGCACGAACACAAGAGCACCGTGAAACAGAATGCAAAGAGGTTGGAGTGATAAAGATGATCACGCGGCCGAGGCGATCATAGCCTTGGGCAACAAACAGAGCTGAAAACGGGCGACCGCGAGCAGCAACCGCTTCACGCGGCGAAGCACATGGGTAATGGAAAGGCGCGGGCATATCCATGTGTGGTGGACAAGCGCGAGCGTGGCCAACGTGCAGTGCAGACGCCACCATTAAAACAGCAGCCCCACCGCAGCCAAAGACGCGAAGAGCTACCATGAGTAGGTCAAAGCAACACATTACAGCAACCACCTAAGCACGATAGGGACTGTACGCGTCAACGCAAGGTCGCACCACTCAGACCAAAGCGACAAAATGAAAGAAAACGAGCAAAGCGAACCCGCCAACAGGCTACGACAGCGCACAGATGCCGCAATCAAGCTAACAGACAGCTGCTAAAGCCCACACAGTGCATTCGAAATGCAGCCCCAGGTGCGGACGCGCACCCCGGATGCGTTGCAGTGAGCAAACAATGACAGGCCGCGGCCATGCCAGCCAGCACCCCGTGCCAAAACGCAAGCATCATGGCGGCAAGGTCGCCGCCGGGCAAGCTGCCCGACGGAAAAAGGCGGCAGCCTCGAACGGTGCCCGTCGAAATCACCGCACCCATGGGGGCGCAAGGACGTCAATGCCCTGGCCAGCATACGAGGTGAAAGGCACCGCCAGACCGAGTTTCCGAGAAACCCCTGGGAGACAAAAAGCCGGGCAACCAAAAGCCCTCCCGCCCAAGGCGGTAAAGGAGTACGGAAACTGGTCAACAGAGGGCAGGATGGCGCAGCAAAAGACTGAGCGAGCTACCCCAGGACGAAGCCTGGGAAGCACGCCAAAAAGGAAGATGGGCCGCGGCCAAGCCAGCCCACACCCCGTAGCAGGGCGCAGGCAGCAAGGGGGTAAGGCACCCGCCAGGTCCGACACACGGACGAAGGAAGGCGCTACAACACATAAGTGGAGCGCAAAAATCCGAGAGCTAGGACAAAAATATGGGTGGTGTAGCCAAGGCAAGACACGACCGAGTACCAGGAACACGGCCTCCAGGCACAGGCCAGCCGGACCACCAAAAGGTTTCCACCGCCTGCGGCGACGACGGACAAATGCGGCAAAGCCCGCCACCAGTTCTCGGGTGCGGCCAAAGGGGGGGGGCACCCAAGGTGGGGGGTGCAAATCATGACCGGCGGCACGTGCGCGGCTCAGGGGGGGGGGGCAGGGACGTAACAAAATAAGAAGAGGCGCCATGAAGTCTGAGGAAACATCATGGCCCACGCCATGATATCCACCCCCCCCTAGTCCTCACCCCCCTTTTGCCGCCCCCTGAACTCCGCGGGACAAGCTACGAAGCAACTGGATGCCGCGAAGAAAAACCCACAACACCGGCGGTCACCGCGCGGAGTGCGGTTGGGTGCGAAGAGCGGCGAGCAGCAATGATGCAACGACGCAGAAAGGGATCCAGCAAGGGCACGCAATCGCGCGCGGAGAAAGAAGTAGAGGGGGAAAAGAAAACTGGGAGAACCGGGGAATCACTCCAGCCAGCAGCACCGCACCAACCATGGGCACGGATAGCACTCAAATCACTGATGTTGCACGGCACGGGTGGGGACAAGGCGTGGCCTCAGTAGCTCGCGCCGCCGTTTGCAGCACGATGTCGCCCTCGAACGTCGCCCTGTCGGCATGGCTCCCCCTCCCAGGCAAACACACACACACACACACAAAAAAAAAAAACTCCGACGGAAAGACCCCACATGAGAGTCCTCTCGGCCATTCTGGAAAAAAAACCTTCACCGTCGGCCTCGTGATTGGTAAGGCATCATTACTGTCCTTGCTGCGTATATTTCTTCTCGCCCTGGCGCAGGCCCTCCTCCCGCTGCCTGCGTTTCCCCCATCCTCGCCCTCCCCGCTCGATCGCATTAGCGCGCATGTCGATTTTCCTCGGCGCCGTCGCCGCCTCGGCAGGCACGGGCACATTCTCCCATTGCCACGTCGCGCAGCCGTCGGGAAAACCCCGCGGGCCACGACGTCGGGGCAACCCCACAAGGCCGAAGAGGGAAACTGCAATTGGTTTCAAGGACGCGGGCCCCACCCCCGCGCATGCGGCCAGCGGCGCGCAAGGCAGGGGAACGACGGAGACCCACGTCCTTTCACGAGGCCAGGAGCTCTCGCGTGGAGAAAACTACGCGGCCAGAGGCTCGCGCAGCGGACGATGCCAGAGGCTCTGGTCGTAACAAACAGTTTGGCAAAACCCTGCATTGCCAGAGGCTCACGCAGTTGACGAGGCCAGGGGCTCTCGCTGTCGACTGAATAATCACCACGTGTGCGGCCAGAGGCCCGCACACCGAACGATGACGATGCCAGAGGCTTTCGTCGTACACAATGATAAAATGAATAATGCGTAGCCAACTGCGTTGCCAGAGGCTCACGCAATTGACGAGGCCAGAAGCTATCGCCATCGACAAAATCAAAGCCACCTGTGCGGCCACAGGCTCGCACGGGTGACGAGGCCAGAGGCTCTCGCCGACGCTGGCTGGAAGATACAAGAGTCGTACGCGGCCAGAGGCTAAAGGAGGAGGGGGGGAGAGGCGGAGGGGGGGGAGGGAGAAGCAGAGGGAGGAGGAGGGAGGAGGGAGGGAACTAAGAGGAGGAGGACGGGGAGGAGAGAGGAGGAGGGAGGCTGCACTGATTGTCTGAGCCTGTGGCTTGAAAACCTGTACGTATTACAAATGCCAATAAGAGCGAAGATGGGGGGGGAGAAAAAAGGTGTCATTTCCTGCCTGCCCCTTGGCAGGCCCCCTCAGCGATCGCACGGGTAGGTTTATTCGCACCGGCGTTGCGCACGTCCCCTCAGCAGGCCGCTCGCACCAGCAGGCTTGTTCGCACCGGCGTTGCGCGGTTCGGGAGTCTACTGGAGTCAGAAGTTCTGATAAGTAGATTCTAAACACTTGTGTGGAGTTTTAATACGTTCTAGGTGCGTTCGCGCTTCGAGAGGTTCTAGTAAGTCTGGTGGAGTCCGAGGGATACAACACGCATCTGTAAAACTACGAATGACAAGCGGTAAAATTAGGAACGGAACACAAACGACAAACAAACAAAAAAAAAAAACGGTTCGGTCACTGATGTTGATGTTATCCCTCAATAATGCTACCGCTGCATGTCCATCCTGGGGAAATGGGCCCCAAGGCGTTACAGGATTGCGATGACCCACCTCGGATTCGAACATGAAGCCCAGGCCCCTTAAAGAGAGAGATCCCGCGGGAGACTTCCACACTGCGCAAGTCAATCACAAACAAAGGTCCCCCCTGCTCCCCGCCTCCATACTCAGGCTTGAGGGGCCAAAACATGCCGACTGATACAGGAAACCGATGACCCGCCTCGGATTCGTAGAATGATTCGCGGGCCCCTTAGGGAGAAGGCTCCCGCCTGAGACTTCCTCGCAACTCACTCACAGACGAGGCCCGCCCGATACTTCTTCCATATTCCAGCCTGGGGAGCCCAAAAGTGACGACGGTTACACGAAACCGACGAGGAAACCGATGACCCGCCTCACATTCGGAACATGATTCGCGGGCCCATTTAAAGAGGGGGTTCCCGCCTGAGACTTCCTCGCAATTCACTCACAGACGAGGCCCCCGCCTGATACTTCCTCTATATTCAGGCCTCATGGTGACGGTGAGTGATCGATGGATGATGGCGTTGGTGACGATGAAGCTGCGACGATGATGATGATGATTGGTGGCGATGACGAGCGCCGATGATGACGAGCGCTGGCGACGCGGCGGTGACGATGACGACGTAGATGACGATGAGTGAATGAGTGATTGAATGAGCGAGCGGGCGCGTTGCTGCGCGGGCCCTGCGCGGGCTGAAGCGGGCGTTTCTGCGCAGGGTGCCCAGAAGAAGAAGAAGAAGAAGAAAGAAAGAAAGAAAGAAAGAAAGAAAGAAAGAAAAAGAGAAAGAAAGAAAAAATTGGGCGTGGGGAAGTGCGACAGCGTGGAGGTCAGGTAGGACGCGCGCGCCTGGGTGAACCCCGAACGGCGCACGCCGCGCGGCCCCGAACTCTGCCCCTCGAACTCCTGCTCGCTGGGCGTGACACATCAGCGAGTTCCGCCCCCGCGCCGCGGCCTGGCCGTCGCAGCCGGCGTCTTCGGCGCCCTGTCGCAGCACCTTGGCGAGCTCCTGATAGATCGGAGACTCCTTGAAGCCGCACACCTGCAGCCAGACCCCCAGCGGCAGGAAGCGGGGGCGAAAGAGCTGGCCGGCCGAGCATTCCTCGCACAGCTGCTCGCCCTCGCGGTGGAATTCGAAAGACACGACGGTGGCCCGTTGCTTTTGCACAAATCCCAACGTATTCCGCTTTTCCTGCGCGGCCGTGAACCGCGCCTCCATGCCGACGTGGGCCGCCAAGACGCCGTGGTTGTCCCCCGTCTTGTGCATGTTCGGGACGCTCAGGAGGCGCCGACCCGCGTCGGGATCGCCCTGAATCGACCTGCACTCGTCCACGGCCTGCAAGAAAACGGAGGGCACGCCCAGAAGCCGCGCGTCGCGACGAGCGCGAGTGTTGATCCACCTCGCCACGGTCTCCCGGTATATGCCCATGCCGTAGCCGAGCCGAGGATTCTCGCGCTGGTGGCGAAGGTCCAAGACGCCGTGGTTGTCCGAGGCCAACGTCCTCCCAGGCGGACCACTGATGCTACTGCTGCATGTTCATCCTGGGGAAATGGGCCCGAAGGTGTTACAGGATTGCAACGACCCGCCCCGGATTCGAACATGAAGTCCAGGCCCCTTAAGGAGGGAGTTCCCGCGTGAGACTCACACACTACTCAATCACAAACAAAGCTCCCCCCCTGATACTCCCTCCACATTCAAGCTTGAGCAGCCCAAAATTGACGACAGTTACAAGAAAATCCGATGAGCCGCCTTGGATTCGAACATGAAGTCCGGGCCCGTTAGGGAGGGGGCTCCCGCCTGAGACTTCTGCGCAATTCATTCAAAGACGAGGCTCCCACCCGATGCCTCCTCCATACTCAGGTCTGAGGAACCCAAAAGTGAAGACACTTACATGATTGCAATCTCCCGCCTCGGATTCGTAACATGATCTGCGGGCCCCTTAAGGCTCCCGCCAGAAACTTTCTCACAATTTACTCACGGATGAAGCCCCCGCCTGATACTTCTTCCATATTTAGGCCTGGGGAGCCCAAAAGCGACGACACTTACAGGATTGCCATGACCCGCCTCGGACTAATAACATGCTTCGCGGGCCCCTTCCGGAGGTAGCTCCCCCGTGAAATTTCCTTACAATGCACTTACAAACGAAGTTTTCGCCTGATACTTCCTGAACATTCAGCCCTGAAGAACCCAACAGCGACGACATATACAGGATTGTAACGACCCGCTTCGGATGAATAGCATGATCCGCGGGCCCCTTAGTAAGGGGGTTCCCGCCTGAGACTTCCTTACAATTCACTCACAGACGAGGCTCCCGCACGATATTCCTCCATATTCAAGCATGATGATGATGATGGTGAGTGATCGATGGGTGATGGCGTTGGTGATGGCGAATGTGATGATGATGATGATGAAGATGATGAGTGGCGATGGTGATGAGCGCTGATGATAACGAGTGCTGGTGACGCGGCGTTGACGGTGAAAATGCGGATGATGATGGGTGAGTGTTTGAGTGATTGACTGAATGATTGGGTGTGTTCCTGCGCGGGTCCAGCGGGGGCTGAAGTGGGTGTTCCTGCGCGGGGTCCCCAGAAAAAAACAAGAACCCCACTTTGGACGCGGGGAAAAAATTATTCCGACGGAAAGCCCCCACATGAGAATCCTCTCGGCCAGTCTGGAAACAGCCCTCACCGTCGGCCTCGCGATTGGTGAGGCATCCTCACTGTCTCTTCTCTGCCTATGTTTCTTCTCGCCCTGGCGCAGGCCCTCCTCCCCTCCCCCGACGTTTCCCTCATCCTCGCTTTCCTGTATTTTCGTACCCCGCCACCTCCTCCCCCTTCTATTGCATGAACGCGCATGTCGATTTGCCCCGGCGCCGTCGCCGCCTAGGCCATCACGGGCGCATTCTCTAATTGCCACGTCGCGCAGCCGTCGGGACAACCCCGCGGGCCAGGACGCCGGGGCAACCGCGCGAGCCGCTGGCACGCAAGACCAAGCCGTCGGGACAAACCCGCGGGCTTCGAGCGGGGCGCAGCCGCGCTCA